CCTCTCCCTTCCTCTCTGAAATCAATAAAAAAAATATTTTTTTTTAATTAAAATTTTTTTAAAAGAAAGCAAGCCCTTAAACACCAGTAAGTGCAGTCCTCCTTGCCTGCATTAGTAAGTGCTAATACCTCAGGGTAGTTTACAGGCTGCAGACAGATCAGGGAGTCAGTGAAAGCTCGAGGGCTTTAGACCTGACCTAAGAGCCCACTGGACAATGTATTAACCACCCCAGCAACCCGAGTTTGGGTATCATTGATCTTATCTCAGTTTGACACAGGAGAAAGCTGAGACTTCCTGAAATTAGTAACCTGCTTCTGTCACACCTCTGTAGATGGGGGAGGGAGGCGGGGCTCACATGTGTGTGGGCCCAACAATCACGCTCCTATTCGGTGATTAGTCATTGTCTCTGGGGGCACGTTGGTTTCATTGGGCAGAGACAGGGAAATGGGCAGGAAAGGAGAGCGTGATTAGCATGTGCAGATTTGGAGATGCTGATGTCAGACGGCTGGTGAAAACGGCAGCAGGCGGTGGCCTGAGCTGGAGACGGGACCTGGGTGTGCGTTCAGGACCCTCGCCTGCGCCTGTGAAGCAGTGAGAGCAAACAGGCTCCCCGGGAGACGCTGTGCCAAGGACACTCAAGGAGGAAGCCAAGCCCACATTTCAAAAGTGTTTTTCGAGAAGCCTGGTGGTTTCGTTTGCCCAAAAATGTCTTCGTAATTTGAACTCTTCCGAGAGAATGTTATAAAAGCAAAACTTTATTTCCAGATGGTGGAATTTGAGGAGGAAAAGGATTTAAAGAAAAGAATCTTAAAGAGTTGACGTCTCTGCTCTTGACAAATGACCTTCCCATTTTTATTTGGGGAACAGAGATGTTTTTGAATTACGGGAAAGCAGTGGTTGTTCTTGCTTTTTCCAACTTATCCCTTCCCGAGCTTAATTGTTTTCACATTTATGAACGATCTTAAATTCAAATGCATTTTATCTTCGGCATTTTTCATCCCAGACATTCATCCCGGTTCATTTCCTGGCGAACATTTCTAATGTTTCCTGTGAGATTATGTCCTCGCATCATTTTGGCCAGATGCATTGCATGCTGCAGTGGGGAGGGCTGTGTGCACCCCTCCCAGTCACCTGCAGGCTCCCGGGGAGACTGGATCTTGCCCCATCTGGTGAGGGGTATCTTGGTGTGGCAGCAGCAGTAACACAGGAAGATGTCCCATCGCTTCAGGCCGTCAACCAGAGGCCACGTGTGTCCTCTATCTCTGGGGCCTATGGGGTGGAGTGTGGACTTTCCCTGAGAGTTGCCAGGCATTCAGGGACTGGGCTACTGGGCACCAATAACATCCCATAAAATCCTATAAAAATAAATGTATCTTTAAAAAACAATCTTGCACCTACATATCAAACATGGTATTTGCACTTGCGTTCAAATCCTGCATTATAGTCTAGGTGTGTCATCTTGTTTTATATTTAAGGCCCACAGCCTTCTACTAAATCAGGAGACAAACTGGTGAGCAAAGAAAGCAATTCTTGTAGCCATTGAGGGATGCAGTTCCCCCAAAACGAATTGTCTTAAAGACTTAGCAAAAGGGAGATGAAGTAATATTCCCGCAGTGAGGATGTACGTCACCACCTGTGTAGGCTTCTCCCCATCTCCTTCGTGACCCTATCATTGATCCTTCTGTGGAAGAATGATCTAGAGCAAGGGTCCTCAAACTACGGCCCACGGGCACATACAAATACAAATATTGTATTTGTTCCCCCCCACTTTTTTTTACTTCAAAATAAGATATGTGCAGTGTGCATAGGAATTTGTTCATAGTTTTTTTTTTTTAACTATAGTCCAGCCCTCCAACGGTCTGAGGGACAGTGAACTGGCCCCCTGTTTAAAAAGTTTGAGGACCCCTGCTCTAGAGGCCTCTCTGTTACAGTAAGTGGTCTTGTGGGAAAGAATAGAAGAAACAGGTTGCATAGACACTAAATTAAGTGTGTGGGCCATTGGATGTTTGTCAACTGTGTCTTTGGTAGCCACAATAGCTAGCAAGCTGCCCTGTTAGTGCACCATATTGTTACATGGTTTCAGTTATTTATGTTGTCTTTATTTTTTTCAGTCTGTGTTTACCCCCATAGGATAAACGCATTCAGTTGACCTACGTGGTAGCTGAAGGCACTTTATGTTGGAACATTCTATTTGAGGTAGAAGCAGGGGAAAGAATTAGGGCAGAATTGATTGTTGACAGGCCTTTTGCAATTCCCACTTTTCTGAAACAGAACATCCTTCTTCCTCGGCTACCATTAACCTTTATTTAGAACAGAGTAAATCACTGGGCTCAAAATTTATGTTATACACTAAGGTCTGCTGGTACACAACTTGTCTTTTCACCAAATATCATTATTCAAAGTGTAAACGCAGTGCCCTAGGACAATTTCGCATTCTTATTGATGGCCTCTCGCTGCCCCGAATCCTCCGTGGGTTTTACCGGCTAGCGTATCGTGGTTCCCCGGGCCGCCTCTTACAGAACTGCTTCACCCGCTGCCGAAGCTTCCCACCAGTTCTGCTGAGGGTCAAGTAAATAGATTAGATTATGTTTTTTTGTTGTTGTTATTACTGCTTTTTTTTTTTCTCTTTTGTACCTAGGAAAGAATTATTCTTTGGGAGTCTGAGTGATCCACAGAGTTAGCTTTTTGCATTCTCATGGCTCTGGCACTAAGTTATGCTTTAACCCTTCTTCAGAGCTGGTGGGGGAAGAAGAGGGCTAGGGAGTTTGACAAGGAAAGTCTGGCGTTCAGAGCTCTGCTGCCTCCCCCTGGGCTGAGACAAAGAGGGGCGGCTGCAGAGGAGGGCCCGACCCTGAGTGTGGCAGAGGCTGGAGGGGCGGAAGGCTGGTCCTGGTGATGAGAGGACCTCTCTGCCCACCTCACGCCTGGCACACCTGGCACACCTGGCACACTCCTGCATTAACTGCCCCGGCACTCAGAATTGATCAGGGCATCTCAGGAAGCTTGGCCTGGATCTGAAAGAGTGCAGTGTACACCCGTGGGAGAAGTAATTATGAACTAAATGTCTATTCTTACCGAGAGATGGAGAGAAGGTAGGATCTGGCTCTAGCATATTCCTCACCTTCAGAAGCACGTCAGGATAGTTAATGCTGTTTTCCAAATGAGAAACCCAAGAATGGGTGAGGAGTGACATCGGTGTGTGAGACCCAGGCTGGTCTTAGAAGCTGCTGGGTTTGAAATATCAGGAGAGAAAAGACAAGGCAGGGCGAGAACCGAGGACTGTGCTTCTGAGATAAGCCTCCTCCCAGATACAAGTCCCTCCCTGACTTTCTCCTCATTAATGAAGGGACTGCACAACAGGTAGGGGCTCTAGGGCTTATGCAGGAGGTGGGTTCTTTGGGATTTGCGATTCTCCTGCCACCTTCAGAGGAGGGAGAGTGACATAAAGTTTAAGGCGTGTCTTTCTGATCCCGGGGAGCCCCGTCATTTTGGCTGTCAATTGAGTCCTAAACAAAGTCTGGGTTAGAATCCTCAAGGCCTCCATTTCAAATCCTGGAAACAGAGCCAAGACTGACTATTCGGAATCACAGTAATGCCTGCAGCTCAGACGTGTGGAGTGGCCTGCTTGTCAGCCTGCTCGTCCAGGGACAGCAGGGACTCTGGAACTTTCATGAGACCCAACACTTGTTCAGAATTAATCATTTCCTGTGTTTATCCTGCAGCTATTCACCACGTTTAACAAGAGTGTGTGGCACTCCAAAGGCCCATGTGGCGCTGGGATGGGCAGGGATCTCATACTGGCTTTGGTTTCAGGGGATGTAAACAAGCCCTTACCAAGGTTGAACAGCAGATAACTTTCTCTTAGCCCACCCACCTCTTTTCTCAATAGCCATCTGCTCTGGCTTTTGGAGGAATTACTAGCCTCCATCTAAGCCAGCGTTTACTGAGCATGCCCAGCAGTAGCTCTGTCTGTGCCTGTGAGCTCTGTTGTTTTCCTCATCTCACTCGTGAGGGAAGATGCTGCTGAGGTTTCCGGGGTGAAGTGACCCGCCAGTGGCTACAGAGCCAGGTGGGCCGTGGGAAGTGGGGCTCCCCCTCAGCTTATCTTTTCCCACCCCTCCTACAGCAGCCCTTCCAAGGTCAAACAAGCCCGCGCTTACTTCCAGCCAAGATGTTACGTGACTATTAAGGTTTGCCTCTGCCTCTTTAGATGGTTATATTTTAAACAAGACTCAAAGACAAAGAAGCCATGGGGATGGGACTGTGGAGTAGGGTTATCCTTAAAGCGGGGCCACTGGAGATTCCTCAAAACCTTGCAGGTGGCCGAAACCGGTTTGGCTCAGTGGATAGAGCGTTGGCCTGCGGACTGAAAGTTCCCAGGTTCGATTCCGGTCAAGGGCATGTACCTGGGTTGCAGGCACATCCCCGGTAGGAGATGTACAGGAGGCAGCCGATCGATGTCTCTCTCTCATCGATGTTTCTAACTCTCTATCTCTCTCCCTTCCTCTCTGTAAAAAATCAATAAAATATATTTAAAAAAAAACAAAACAAAAAACCTTGCAGGTGAGTGGCTGTGGGCAGAGCATTCCACAGCAGAGCTCCGTGCACAGAACTGACAGCTATTGGCTGAGTAAGACCCAGGTCATGTTCTCATCACGTGCAAGAAGAGCACAAGGAAGGCCGCTTTTGTTCACGTTCGTGTCTCCTGTTGACAAACCATCACCTTTATCCACCAACTCCACGTCGGTAGCTGTAAATTCTAAATGCCCACGGTTTTTAGGTCAGGATTTGGTTTTTGGTTCTATAGAACACTTGGATTTAGGACACATTCTCACATTAAGAAAAATGAGAATATGTCCTACAGTTCATGGAAAATATGGATGGCTCTATTTTGTCCATGTTTGTAATGAATAAGACATGAAGGTGAGCTCGTCGTGTTGTTTTTCACCAAAATGTCTTCATGATGTTTTTGTCTTGTTTGTCCTTGCTCCTCATTTTAGTGCCAACATACTTTTGGATGATCAGTTTCAACCCAAACTCATGGATTTCGCCATGGCACACTTCCGGCCTCACCTCGAGCCTCAGAGCGCCACCATAAGCATGAGCAGCGGCAGCAGTAACCATCTGTGGTACATGCCAGAAGAGTACATCAGGCAGGGCAAGTTGTCCACTAAAACAGATGTCTACAGCTTTGGCATCGTAAGTACCAACAATGCTCTCAGTTGAGTGGGACATTTGAAACCTGTTTGATTTTATTAACCAATGTCATGCAACAAATGATCTCCTGTTACTCATTGTCTTATACATTAATTTTGGGTAATCAGTCAGTAATAAAATATAAGTTCATTAATTGGAATGAGCTACATTCGTTGTTAAGGTTACTAGCCACCACTAATACGTGGATATAGTTAATGTAAGTAACTGACTTTCTGTGTGTCCTTTGTAGGTGATAATGGAAGCTCTGACCGGTTGTAAAGTGGTGTTGGATGACCCAAAGCACATTCAGCTGGTAAGACTTGTCCTCCCCTCTGCACCGTGGTGATTTTCCTGATAGAGTTCTAAATGAGGTTGTCTTCTTCTCCTCCTAGAGGGATCTCCTGATGGAATTGATGGAAAAGAGAGGCCTCGATTCATGTGTCTCATTCCTAGATAAGAAAGTCTTTCCCTGCCCTCGGAATTTTTCTGCCAAGCTCTTCTCTTTGGCGGGCCAGTGTGCTGCGACACGGGCAAAATTAAGACCATCAATGGATGAAGTACGTATGCACACAGTTTTATTAAATACTGAATCCATAGAACCATTGAAAATCTAAATAGGACAAATGTGTATCTAAGTAAATTCTTTATTAATGAGACAAATCCAGCCTCCAAAATAGAATTCTAATAGAAAGCTTTTCTAGGTCGAAATGTCGCATCATCAGGTACTCTAGTAGAGGTCATTCTTGGGTGGAACCAGGGAACCATGAACATTTTAAGGAAGAGACATAGTAATTTGGAGATAATATTTTATTCAACCTTCATAAGAGATCTGCCCATTAAAAATGCAGTGTGTATTCCCCTTATCGGTTTTTTTATTCATCTGTCCATCTGTTTAATCGTCCATTCATTTATTTGTTTAAAATAAACAAATATTTATTTGGTGCCCACTTTGCAAGGGTCAGATGTTGTGCTGGGTGCTGGGGATACTACAGTGATCAAGAAACAGCTGCTGCCCTCAAGGCCACTATCCACAGGGAGAGTGACCTCAGGAAACATGGGATTTCAGGACAGAAAGATAAGGATCCTGGTAGATGGGAGCATGGAATTAGTACATTCTAGCGGATGGAAGTCAAGGAAGCTTCTTGATGGAGGAGCCAGTGGAGGTAGGCCCTGAAGAACAGGGTGGATTTAGGTAGCCACAAGGATGGACGGACATTCCAGGGAGAGAATATACACCTGCAAAGGTTCAGAGGGCTGGATTTCATGTCGCTAAGACCACAGGTAGTTCTGCTTCTGTGCGATGGTGGGGAAGGAAATGCTGCAGGGTTGTAATAGAAGGTTCCAGGTGATAGAGCAGGGGTGGGGAACCTTTTTTCTGCCAAGGGCCATTTGGATATTTACAGCATCATTTGCGGGCCATATAAAATTATCAACTTAAAAATTAGCCTGCTGCCCTCTAAAATTAATAAAAACATATTTTTAAAAATAATAGGAGATTCACCCCAGGTCCAAAAGTAGTGGTAGCAAATCTAGGCCTAAGGTCAGGTCTCTTGATATTCATTTCAATGCAGTTTCTTTTATCCTTTGCTTCAAGTCACTTAATTTATTCATTAAAACAAAGAGTTTAGCTAATCTTTAATACCTTCTCATTCAAAATTCTGTAGTAGAACTGATTTCATGAAAACAAAAGCACAGTCCTTCAAAGATAGATGGAAAAGGGTAAAAGGAAACGTTAGTCAAGCTTAACTCGATGTTTGCTTGCTTCTTGGTTAATTAGGTCCTAACTACTCTCGAAAGCACTCAAGCCAGCTTATATTTTGCTGAAGATCCTCCCACCTCACTCAAGTCTTTCAGGTGTCCTTCTCCTCTGTTCTTGGATAACGTGCCAAGTATTCCAGTGGAAGATGATGAAAGACAGAACAGACAGCCGCTGCTTCATGATCCACATTTGAGGAAAGAGAGAATGGCTCAGAAAATCCCTTTTGAATGCAGCCAGTCTGAGGTTACTTATCTGGGCTTGGACGGGAAGACGGGGCGTGAGAGAAAGGAGGACGCTTGCAAACTGCCCAGTTCTCCTCCTGAAGAACGTTGGCCTCCAAAGCACGCGGCACCAGCCTGGGATTCAGGGGCCCCCCGTGTAGATGCGGACTCTTCTGCAGAAGCTGCAGGCCACGCTCACAGGAGCAGGCCAGTGGAGACCAGCTGTTCCAGTGAATTTGTCTGGAATGAATGTGAGCAGAACAAAAAGGAATCCATTTTACCAGAAGATAAAGAAGATGACAAGTACTACCCAGGCACTTGAGTACAGGTGGTATCTTGGGAAGACATTGCCTTCATAAGTAATGCCCTGAGGGTGACCCATGTGACCTTGACAATGAGGATCAACAACCTGGACGATCCCATTCTTCGCTCTCCAACTTGCAAAACAGGGGGCCTTAAAAGTGTGTTTTGTCGGGTAATTGCCTCAGATCGAATCTAGGCTGAATTAGAGCCATTCGCGATTCCTTAAGATCCTCGGCCCTGACTTCGGACAAACAAAGCAGTCAAAACCTCCCCAACGAGACCGGATTCTTACGTCCTTCACGGCATTGATCTGAGTCCTCAGAGCCTCGTTCTGCTAAGTGTGCTCAGTTGGATTCCACTGTTGGGTGTAGCTTGCCTGTGAGGTTGTAGGAAATGTCTAGTTTGTAAATATTAATGGTTGCCCTTTAAAGAATTGCCTTTCCGTGTACTTTGATTGACCCGTGGCATTTCCCTGTTCATCCCTCTCAAGCTTGCCTGTGTGAAGATGAGCCAGGCTCACCCTTGGCTATGATATGGTCTCTGCAGAGAGTAGATTTTTGCCCAAGATCTGTAGTCTGTATTTAAACTCTTAGGATAATTTATCACATAGAATACAATTGTTGACTGTTATTATAAGTTCTTTTTTACAACCGTAGGTACCTATTATATCCTAAGTAGGATGTATGAAATTTTAATCAGGTAATTTCTGTTTCTGAGAAAATGGCTGGTCACAAGAGCCTAGGTCTGCTTTTTTGATTCTGTACCTTCCAACTCAATGCCTTTGTTCCTGCTGTGTCCTGTCTCCCTTCCCTTTTAAAATCTTACCAATCCTTCAGGGCCCAGCAGAACTGCAATCCTCCCGAGACTTCCCTAATCTCCAGCCAGAAGTACTCACTTTACCAGCATTTCCATAGCAATATTGCTGTATTTATATTTTATACTCGTCACTTTCTGAATGATACCAAAGTTGCTTGTGCCATCTCTCTCTCTGACCAGGCTTGTAAACTGCCTGTATTAGTTTTTACTGTTGCTGTAACGAATCATCACAGACCGAGTGGGCTAAGACAATGTAGGTTAATTACTTTGCAACTCTGGAGGTCAGAAGTCCGTGGCATCCCTTCTGGAGGCTTTAGGTGCAGATTCGTTCCCTCACCTATTCAGGCTCCTGCTTTCCTTGGCTTCTGGACTCTTCATCCTCAAAGCCAGTAGCATAGCATCTTTAAATCTAGATCTCTCTTTCTCTCTGACTTCTTCTTTATCACCTATTACTCATTCTTTGGCCCTCCTGCCTCTCTTTTATAAGGATCCTTGTGATTGCATTGGGTCCTCACAGGTAATCCAGGAAAATCTCTGCATCTCAAGATCCTTAATTTAATCATATCTGTGATGTCTCTTTTCTTCTGTAAAGTAATATATCTGCAGGTTTCTTAGGACATGGATATCACTGGGGACCATTGCTCTCACATTCCCTGCGTGTGCAGGGGCCGTCTCTTCAAGGCCTAGCCTGTTATCCTATACAGAGCAAGTGTTTTCTTATGTCAAGTTGAATTAAATGATCTCTGTGAACCCACATACTCAAAAATTCAGCTACAGTAAATGCTGTTGGGTAAATTAACAAAGTAGGGATAACGATTGTCTTTGTGATGATGGATGGAAATACTCAAGAAAACCATTTCCAGAGAATTTATAACTGCTCCCTCTTCAGGGCATGTATAATGAAAGGGTAGATCTCTAGCTTCAGAGGAATAGACACATTGCGCGCGCGCGCGTGTGTGTGTGTGTGTGTGTGTGTGTGTGTGTGTGTGTGTGTGTGGTTGGGTTAGGCATAGATTAGAGTCCAGATTTAAGAACAACTGATCAAAAACAAGAAGTTATCAAGAATTAGGGGCGGGTTAGCAGACCAAGGTCAGAAATGTGGAGCTATAGTTCTGGGGGAAAAAGGATTTCATGGCAGAAAGTGAGCTTCAAGACACAATAAGCCTTAGTCTGATTGACAGGCCCAAAGCAGGCCCCAGGTAAGCAGTTAGGAGAGGCCATGCTCCCGGGCACGGGCAGGTCTGCCGGCCGCCTGTCCAGTGCTGTCTTCCGCGTCTGATCACGATGTCTGTGTTCACAGTGCTCCCAAATGGTCCCTCTGCTAAGACTAGTAGGGGAGCAGGCTTGGACTTGATGTCAGATGATTTCAATTCTTATGACCTGAGCTGGCTGGCCACTCTTGATTATCCATGCTAATGAAAGGAAGCAGTAGAAGTCTTTGGCATTTGGATTTATATTATGTAAACCATTCTGAGGCTGATTTACCTTGTTTCATTTGAAAATAAAAAACAGCGAATGTGTTGCTTATTTTATCAGTATTAACTTTATCCTTCCAGATTGGCAAATATTGGAGCAATTGACAAGAATATGGGCAAAAGGACATTCTTGTTCACTATTGGCTGGAGTGACAATTGGTACAACCTTTATAAGAAGGCAATATGTCAATAAAGAATTATTTAACAAAAAAAGAAGGCAATATGTACTAAAGTTGGCAATATGTATCAAAAATTTAAACGACACACTTTTACCCGGCAATTTGTTTAGGAATTTATTCTAAACATTCCCTGAGTGTGCAGGGGCCGTCTCTTTAAGGCCTAGCATGTTATCCTATACAGAGCAAGTGTTTTCTTATAAGTCAAGTTGAATTAAATTATCAAGTGTATAAATAAGATGGCAAAGATGCACTTTATGAGATGTATGATATTAAATCATTGGAAACAGCCTAAATGTCCTTCAATAAAAGATGGGTTACACAAAGTATAGCACACATATACAATTGACTTATATGCAACTGTCATTACAGATTATTTAGATCAATTTTTATAACTCTGGAAATTTGTCACTGAAATATTATTGAATAAAAACTCAGACTCCAGAATAGCATGTTTAATAGGGCCACATTTATAACACTGGATATTTTAAAATAATATATGTTTCATAGAGAGATCTTTGCCAAAAGGTTAATAATGGTTTTTTTCTGGCCTGTGGTAGTTGGATGATCTTTACTTTCTTTAGACTTTTATGTATTTGAAATTTTTATAATGAGCATGGATCATTTTTATTTTCTTAAAACAATAAAGCTATTTTTATTTTGGAAAAAAGCCTCAACATTTCTATGTTGGCCCCCCTCTTTGCTTCGCTGTGCTCTTGGTAACAACTGGCAACTAGCAATGCTGCTTCTATTCCATTGCCCTTTGTTCTTTCTGTCCTCAAAGCTTAGTGACTGGAGCTCCCACATGGGTTTGTCTGGATCCTCTGAGTAACAAGTTTTGGATTGAAAAAGCAATCCAAGAAGCAAAACTAGACAAATTGAAATACAAGAATGGACAATGGTCCTGGCTGGTGTGGCTCAGTTGGTTGCACATTGTCTCGTGCATTGAAAGGTGGATGGTTTGATTCTGGTCAGGGCACACACTTGGGTTGTAGGCTCCATCTCCAGTAGGGGGCATGCAGGAGGCAGCCGATAGCTATTCTGCTCTCACATTGATGTTTCTCTCTCTCTTCCTCTCTCTCTAAAAATCAATAAAAATATCTTTTAAAAAAAGAATGGACAATGGATTACAATACACAACTGAGAATACTTTATAATTAAATATTACTCAATTTTGGTAAAATCTTTAAAAATCACCTTTAGTATGTACACCTACAAATCATTATTTCAATGAGTAACCTATAAGTAAATTTAAAGATCTTTGGGGAGATAACATTTTCATCATAAAATACCCATTCCTCAGATTTGTGCCCCACTATACCCTTTAGCCCAAGTTATAAAAACTATAACTTGCTGAATTTAGTAGACTCTGGGCTGTAGTTAGCAGTTGAAAATCAAACTTTCAAGAGTGCAGAGAAATTGTGACTAAATACAGTGGTTTTCTCTAGCAGGTAGAGGTGGAGTCCGTGTAGCAGTGTTAATGGGATTCACACTAATGCATTAGTTAAAGGGAAATAGCTACTATACTCCAGGCTAAAATACCAATTCTAATGAATCCTGTCTGGAGAGACTGTTTGTGGACATAACTAAGTTACAGAGGGTGTCAGTATGACAACAACAACAGCAAAACCCCCATTTCCTTGGCCACTCTAGCTAAAAGACAAATTAGAGCTGGCTTCTTAAGAGCATAACACAGACACAAATTTTGTTCTTTTGATACCAAATTAAGGTGCTGGTGCTGCTTTTGTGTTTTCTGGAAGGGAAATGCCAGCCGTGCCATCACTGCGAGGATTTTAACAAAAGACAAGTTCAGAAATCGAATGAATGAACACAGTGTAAAATGGAGTTGTTCTGACAGCACATTGGAGTGAGGTGTAAATAGCTTCTGCTGGTCTTAACCGGCTTAGTCCCTTTATTCACTAATGGTAATTTCACGGCATTCTGAAAGTGTGTACACGCGACTTACAGTGCGCTTACCCAACCATTACACGTTGGGCCTGTGATATTTCTTTTTCTTTTATGTTCGTAGCACAGGATTTTTTAAAAAGACCTGCAATGACTTCAGCCAAGAGCAAATATTAATCTATGACCTTTTACAGTTTTTATTTTATATACCCTAGAGAAAAAGGTAGGATTCCAGTATGCTCGCAAAGCCAAATATGCATAATTGTGTTAACTCACTGCCGACAGCTCTGAGGCCTGAGACAGGAGGCAGAGCAACCTCTGACGTTTTCATTATGCATTTGTCTGGCAGTTAGAAGGGAAGGAATAATTCATGTCATTACTACTATCCTGTCTTGGCCATTAAAATGTATTTCTCTAATAAAAAAAATATTACCATATTTTAGAAGACAGTCTGACATGCTCTCATCCTTCTCCCTGTCTCATATCCTGGCATTATTGTTTCTTATTTTAACAGTCACTTGAGTGAACCAAGTAGCACCATCACATCCCAGTTAAAAGATCATCAATTACAGTGAAACGACACTTTCACTTCATCTCAGCCACTGTTTCCAAGGCTGTCCTCAGCCTTATCACCACCTGCAACTGCTAACGTCAGAAATCATAGCATGGCCCTGGCCAGCGGTGCTCAGTGGTTAGAGCGTCCGCCTGCCCACTGAAGGATCTCGGGTTCAAGGGCACAAACCTGGGTTGCAGATTTGATCCCCGGCCCTGTTCAGGGCAGATGCAGGAGGCAACCAATCGATGTGTCTCTCTCGCATCTCTCTATCTCTCTCTCTCTTTCTCTCTCTCCCTCTCTCTCTCTCTCAAAATCAATGGAAAAAATATTCTCTAGGGAGGATTAATAAGCAAACAAACACAATAAATCATAGCATGTTGCTCCTGAAGTCCTGTTATATGATTTTTTTCTGGCCTATCAATGATCTCCTCCTCCTCCTCATTCACATTATTCTTTGCATCGACTGGGCCGTGGGTTCACCTGCATCAGTGGAGAAATAGAGCCCCACTAAGTATTTCAAACATATAGAATTTAATATTGGGAATTGGTTACCAAAGGGTTGGAAAGGAAAGGCTAGAAGAGAAAAAAAAAAGTGCAGTTAGAGATTAATAGCTACTGGAAGCCATTCTCATTCTCATTTTCATGGATGAAGGAGCCAGACCATGCCCCACTGAGGCTGCTGAGAACTTGCTGCCGCCATTGGAATGGTGCTGCCAAGGAGGACAGCAGCCTGCAGATGGCACCGCCCCTGCAGCCGCCCCTGCCCCTGCCCCTGCTGGGCCCAGTGAGGAGCAGAGAGGTGGAGCTTCTCCACTGTATCCAGGCTCCACAGTGAGAAGTTAGCTGCTAGGGGCATCCAGGAAACGCAGTTTCCCCTGAACTACAGGACAGCACAGAAGCACAGGGATAGAGCTCTGAGCCAACAGACAAAACCTTCCCTTTGCCTGTTCAGCATTTATTCTCACCCTTTACCCTATATTCAACTTCCGGGAACAATAGCAGGATCACACAAACACCTCTTAGATAATTGAAGATGCTGTCACTTTCCCAAAAGAGAGGACTCATCAGTCATTATTTCCATCTCTAGGTGATCTGCTCCCATTTGAATTTTCTTAGAATAAAGGTAATCATCAGTAATATTTCTTATCCTAATATATAAAAAGCCAGGGGCCATCATGACCAAAACAAGCAGACAGACAACCAGACGCAGGCTGCTGGGGCAACAAGGCTAGCAGGGGGGTTAGTGAGGGATGAACAAATGACCACACACACACACACAAACCAGGATTTTTATGTCATCAAATATATTAGTTTTACTCTTTATGGTGCTTAGGTTATATATATTCTTATTAAGAAGACCTTAACTTATTGAAACAAATGACCTATGGAACTATCTATAATAATAAAAGCATAATATGTTAATTAGACCAGATAGCCAAACGACCTTCCGGATATCCTTCCAGATGTCGACAATAGTTGCAGTGACAGGGGCAAGGCAGAGGCAGTTAGGGGCGATCAGGCAGGCAGGCGAGTGGTTAGGTATGATGAGGCAGGCAGGCAGGCAAGCGGTTAGGAGCCAGTGATCCCGGATTGCAAGAGGAATGTCCGACTGCTGGTTTAGGCCCTATACCGGGGATCGGGCCTAAACCGGCAGTTGGACATCCCCTGAGGCATCCTGGATTACTAAACACTATATACAATGGGATTCTATTTTTTGCATAAAAAAAGTATATGGACACACAATTGTAGAGAAAGGACTAGAAGAAAATAAAAATATCTAAATGAAACTGGGTATTATGAGTATAATGATGTCCCCCTTTATCTATATTTTCAAACTTTTCTACAATGAACATGTATTATTTTAATTTTCAATGATTGCCAGGATTAGAATAGTTACAAATTAATTTTGTAATATTATTTGATGGAATTTGAATAGTAAGTAAAAGCTGTATGCAATAATCTATTAGTATTTTCATTATGTAGCTTTTTGTGTAAGAAAACTGCTTTTATCTTTCTGCTTGACCTCTTAATTTCTTGTAGTGATATTCCACTGTAGTAGCTCTTTAAACTTATTAATTGCCAGTATCTATTTATATGAATGCAGACAAGGCTTTGTGTGGCTGTCCTCTGGGAGAGGCTACTATAAGATAGTAAGGATAATGACGGCCAAGCAAATATTCAAGGGACTGAGCTTCATTTGTTAGCGTGCTACAGTGATGCGATAACAATGATGGTTTTGCTTCCAGTGTGGGGAGTATCTCCTAAACTGCAGAATGTACCTCTTCGTGGTCCATCCTCTGCCGTGTTGATTAGAAAGGAGACCACAGAGAACAAGGGTAGATGAGCATGAAATATCCTCCCACTGGCCAATCAGTAATCCCATGTTTGTATGGGAAGTGCAGCTGCAGTTGGGTCAGTGAATGTTACTATTTAATTATAATTCAATTAAAATCTAATTTAATTTCTAAATTCAACGAATTTAAAGCCAGCATGATTAAAAGAAGTGAAATGAAAATTGTCCGGAAAGTGTTCTCATATTCCCATCCTCATACACTTCTCTTCCCTCCGGGGTTGATTCGCTCACTGCTCACCTCCCTCCCAGACATTGCTGGGCCACCCCGTG